AAAAAAAATCAATTACTCTTTCTCCTTGTGCATGTTGAATTTTTTTCTTGTTTAGTTTCAACAAATTCATTTATATTTCAACCTGGGGGGAAGCACTCTTGAAATTTGTAAAGGACACCAGATACTCAAAATCTTCAGCAGCCTTGTGGGTGGGATTTGGGAGCACAGAGACTCTCCAGGTCTGCAAATCTGTGCCAGTGCCAAAGTGCTCTGTAATGGGAGATTGCCAAGCTGTCAAATGCAGAGGCCAGTTTCATTGATCAGTTTGGGTTCATTTGAATTATTAATATGAGGTCCAGGGATCTCAGATCAGGAGCACTTGGACAAAGACGGGTCAAGATGTGACCATTATTTTCACACTGGGCAATATCGTGGATGAATAAATGTCTAGTTCAGCTTCAGCTTAAATATCTGAGTAGCTGAGCCGGACTAAGTCTTGACTTCAGGACCACTAATAGAGAGGGAAGAAAGGCAGAACTACCTGGCCTTCACACACAATTTCTTTTCTAAATCAAGAGGGAAGCAACAAACAAATGGTGACCCAGGAAGAGGCACACACTGGAGAACTAGGGCGGGTGCCCAGCCCTTGGTTCAGCCAAACTGCAGTGAAAGCAAAGCCATGTGCCGTGTCCTCACTATCCCTGAGCCCATCTGTGTGTATCTGCAGCAAATATCCCTGCTTCCCATGACAGATGGTCTCCAGGCTTCTCTTACCCCAATTGCAGAAAACTTACCTGACTTTTTTTTTTCCCAGAGGAAATTTTTAAAAAAGGGAACTCTGCTGACCTTATCTGCATCTTGCCTCATTATTTCCCAACCCAAGCACATCTAACTTAAACTCAAACCTGTGCTCATGGCACAATTAAGGACATTCTTTAGGATTTTCTAGGTGAATGATGAAAGGTTTAATGATCTGCCCAGGTGACCCAGGCAGTACAGTAATTTTGTAGAAGAATTGAATTATTTTCTTGACCTTTGAGATTTTTATTCAATTCATTATATAGATAAGAAACTCTTTATTACCAAATTCTAGCTAGCCAAAATTTAGGTGAACAAGACAATAAAACTGATGAAAAGAGACAATTTCCTCACTGACTATCAATGTTTAATTATCTTCAGTAAACAGCTTGAGAAATAAAAACTTTTTAGGCAAGAAGGAAGCAGAATGAGAGACATGTTTGTGACTACTGCACAAAAGGAGGGAAACAAAAACCAGAAAGAATATTATTGTTTGAAAATACAGATTTGTAACAAACTCTTCACATTTTCACTACTTAAAAGTCATTTTATAACAGAGATTCAGGTACATTTCAGCATCACCAGAAGTTCTGGATTCATTTATATCACAGTGATTTCTTTCCAAAGTGTAGTTTCTATCTGTTTGGGTATGTCTCTAGTTCAGACACGGGTAATGCAAGCCCTCAAATGAGGCTGTTGGAGAACCAGAAATACTTTAAACAAATTTATTTCTAATTGACTAGATTTCATGTTGATTGTACCTCTGTAAGACCTGATTAAGTGAATTCATTACCATTTATAATTTTATGACAGCACACATCGGAGATTCCAGCCATGGAAATTATCCCAGTCTAATCAAGATACGCAAACTGAATATAAAAGCATTTAAAAAAAAAATCTTGATTGAATCAGGATTTAAAATATTCTTAATAGAATAAAAAACAGCATCACTTGAACTCCAGGCATACTACTATCAGTTTCTGTCATGGAGAAAGCATTTAGTAAAAGTTCTTACTAAGCGTTCTGTAGGTAACAAGCAGCTGCTGATACAGGATTTGACAGTCAGACTTTTGGGGAGGCCACCCAAGTGGAACCATGAAAAGAAGTGATGCCCAGGAATACTGTGCTTGAAAGGACTCCTAGTTTTCTATAAAACAGGGGGTTGGGGTGACCGGATAAGATGCACCCCTCAGTTTGCTTAACTTCCTCCTAGTTGCCACCCAAATCCTTCTGTGTGTGTTGGTAAATCGGAACAATTCCCATGCAAAGCTCATTTCCCAACGCTGCTGTTGCTGCTGTCAGAGCTGTGTATCCCTGCACCTCATTAGAAGAGAGGAACAGCATCCAGGCAGCTCTGTTTACCCTGGGATGCAGCTGTGCAGGGAAGGAAATAATTAAGCCCATCATATGAACGAAACCCTTCAGGACATACCCATTAATGAGATTTACAAAACCCACACTCCGCTTTGCTGTTTGCAGGAACAAGGAAGGCAGAGACAGAGAGAGAAAAGCCCTTCTTTTCAGCATTAGCATAAAACTAGAAACATATTTGGTTCAATTCAAGCATTAGAAAGAGATTTGCCATTAGGTTTTATGCCTGCCTAATGTTCTGCCACAGATTTTATTTAGTCTGCATCACAGATATTTGGTTTGGTTTTTTTTTACATTTGCCATCACTAGCCGCCTCACCTCAAAAGTTTTCCCCAGTCCTTAATAAATCTAAACTGCTCTTCTCCGCATGGTTTTTCAGTCACACATAGAGAGTGACTATTTCTGTATATCAGAGTTGAATTTTCTTATATGCTCCTTAAAAGGAGCTTATATAAAAGAGGGAGAGTGAATTCTTACATGGGCAGATAGTGACAGGACAAAGAACATTTTTAAACTAAAAGAAGAGAAATTAAGATTAGAAAGATATTGTTTAGTCAGGAGGTAAGGCCCTGGCACAGGTTGCCCAGAGAAGCTGTGGATGCCCCATCCCTGGCAGTGTTCAAGTCCAGGCTGGATGGGGCTTGGAGCAGCCTGGTCTAGGTGTCCCTGCCCATGGCAGGGGATAGGAATTAGATGGTCTCCCAGGTCCCTTCCAACTCAAACCGTTCCAGGATTCTACGCACAATATTTTGTATAGTGTAATAAAAGCTGTTAAATATATATTGGTATGGGGTGGAAAACCCCACAACAAAACCACCTAACCTAAAGACTCAAAACCATGCAACGAAGACATACAATAATAATATTTTTAAGAAAACCACAGGCCTGGGATGAAAGTTCCAGTTCAGTACCCACTCCCAGCACGTAAAGCACAGAGAAGTGTTGGCAGCCTGTGACAAACCCCACTGTCACTGCTGGCTCTCCCAACGTGCTCAGCCAGGAATGTCTGCAGTGAATGTCAATGGGGAAGAGTGACATTCAAAAAAATTAAAAAACAAGACCGAAAAGGTAAGCAAAGGCCTTCCACAATCACACCTATATTTTAAACATTGTTTCAGTGTTTACACCTCATCAAAGGTAGTTATGAGTAACTGCTGCTCCTTATGCCTCAGACTTAATTGAAAAGTAGTTCAACCACACACTGATGAGGCCTTTCTGTTTCCCACACTGAGTATATAATTTAAGAATTCAATACTTGGGATTTTTTTCCTGTTCTAGAATTATTTTATATAATTCCTTTCACAAACCACACTTTCTCACTTCTGTATGCAATTCAAATGTGTACATCACTTATCAGGGAGTGACTGATGGATTATTTTGGTCACACCATAGACTGAAGACCATCCTGACTCTTGAAAAGCTCCTCACCATAACTGCAACCTCACTTAAACGTTTCAGCCAACAAAAAAAATTATTCCCATCAACTCAACACAATATCAAATACGATACTTAAAATCCAAATTTGCACACCTGTTTCTGTACCTTTGTCTTTTGACTGGTGTATTTATCTTTGATAGTGACCCTGCCACTGAAGCAAACAGTCAGTTATTAAATGCCCTGATAAACCAGAAACTTTTGTTGTACTGGCCTTTAAGGTACAAATATTTTGTTAATATTTTTCCCCTTTTCCCATTTTCACAGACTATACTGCTATTCCCAGATTATACTACTTCGTGTCACTACACACTTTACAGCAATAAATCTCACACATTTTACATTGTTTCTCTATTTTCTCTCTGTTTCCAGTGCTCATCCAAAGGTATTGATACTGTTAGGACTCACTATTCAATCTTTGATCTGTGCCCATAATGTGCATTAACACAAAACACTGCAGCAGCCAGTGCAAGACAAGGCACCTTCAGGTTCGCTTATCACAGAGAAAATGAGTTTTTTAGTTTGCAGATCATAGAGAAGCATCAAGCTTTACCAAAGGAAACCTAATTTCAAATCAGTGTCCTTTTGGTTCTAGTTTTCTGATTTCTGAGTTTAATGTTTCTCTTTATTTTGTAATGATTGAACTGGAAGCCAAGAAAATAATGTCACTTTAAGAAATTGTTTCGCATAAATAGCACTAAATCGTCCCCAGAGTACTACCAAAACTTTTTAAATTGTGTTCTGAAAGAACCACAGTAAAGCTAAGATAAAAAAAATATATAATAAATATAAAGACTAGAAGCCTTTTTGAATAGAAAACACTGAAAATGCAGCAGATAAGGTAAAAACAAAAGATAAAAAGGAATATGATTGTGGTGTAGCACAATGTATCTGTACTGACTCACTGGTCCATCAGTTCTCACCTAATTGTACAACAAGGTGTTACAGTACAAAAACCCAGCAATTCTTTATCCACTTTTAATATCAGTTGCACATTTGCAGTGACTCCATTAATAAATTGCCCCTAAATAAATTTTAAAAAAGGGTGTTTATCATGTCTAATGCAATAAATATTATAAATTAGTCTACCTGCTAGTTCATATTTAAAGCACATTCTGGAGGAGGAGGAGGAGAAGGAGGAGAGTTGTTATGTGTGAGGATAAGTTAACAAGATGTGCCAGCCACCTTCACTCCAGGCCACAGTTAGGCTGCAAGTTCCTCTGCTCTGAGATCATTCTTGTGATCCACCCAACACCATAAAGCAGGAGGAGGAACATTTTCCTTGTTGGGGATCAAGCAGCTTTTTCAGGCATTTTTGGCCACCTCTTCATTGAAACACCCCTCAGAATGCAGCACCACACACGGGTGAAGTTCCTGGGCTGTAGGTTTTTCAGGTTTGCCCACCTGACCAGAATAACTTCAACAATTTCGTTACAAAATTAGTTTGGCACACTTACCTGTCAATACAGGTGACAGCAAGATGATCATCAGAATCTAGTTCACCCTCATCTCAGATTCCTGTAGAAATACAAAAAGATGTACAGATTTACATGTGGAGAAAGAAATGAAGCAACCTAATGGCCACCCTGTTTAAAATCATTAAAGCAGAAATGCTCAGGGCATGAAGATTTTGATGGGAGAGAGAAAGAAAGTTGATAATATTGCAAATTTCCAACATATTCATCATGCTGTAACAAAAATACTCTGGAGAGCTTTGCAAGGGCAGAGCCTGATGTGACTTCACTCACTCCAGAGTGCTTCTGGCAGCATGAAGTCAGTACTAAGACAAAAATAAGCTCTTTGGGTTATCAAGAAAGACATAATTTCAGGCCAGATCTGACAGAAGGTGAAAGATGATGCTCTCCTGTTTCCCACTGACATCTTCCTTGATTTAAGTCTTGGCAGAACACTGAGTATCCCAGAAATGTGTGGCTGGGGAACAACCCAAATTTGAGCAGCAAGATGCTTGGTTTTTGCCCAAGTCCAGCTGAGATCCAGAGATTAGGGTCTGCTGTTTCCAGGCCTCCAAAGGGATTCCCCAAATCATCAGACATGCCAGTCCAGCTCCTGGATCAGCAGGCATAGTCTACATCCAAATAACTTCTATCCCTGAAGTGCATGACTTGATTCAAATTTTAATGCCTTCACTAATGGGTAGAAGCTCATGCTGAAAAAATTCCTCCCTGTTATGTATTTCCTCCTTTTAGAGGTATAAATGGAAGGGAAAATCCAGAGATTTCCATTGCAAAAGCAAGTTTGACAAACCTTTTTTTACTTTTTGGGGTACTCTGGTGTACAATACTCCATAAAAAAATACAACTAGATCATGTTACATCTTTTACTTCTAAGCACAATAAGAGGTCTAAACAGGCACTCTCTTTTAGACACTTTATTTTAAGTAAAGCTAGACTTTGACATATTTTACTAAAACTAAACATAGCTATCCAAAATGTTTGGAGTAGGAAGAAAACACTTGCAAATCTGTCTCCAGAAACTGCATAATTCTGCACAACTGTCTTACAGAAGCAACAAAAAAAAAGCTATTGAAGGACATTTCCCACACTGAACTACTGTATTTTTTACCAATGTCAGCTGCATTTGAGATTAAACATGGTAGGTTTTGCATTTTTGGAGTGGGAGATGTAAATGTGAACTCCACCATCATTAAGGTTACAAGAAAGGGAGGTAAGAAAGTTCGTCAGCTGCTTCTCACCAGGCAAAACCCAGAATCCATGCAAGGAAAGAAGGCAGCAGATTAAAAGTAAAGCAAAATAAATCAAACTAACAGGTTTCTTAATCTTTGGGATGGGAAAAACTGCTTCCACTTTTGAACCACCTCTTTCACAGGCACAAGCTTTCAGTTTCTAAATGGATCCAGACAGAGGAGGAATTACTTGGGACTGGATATCTCAATCACAGATGAAACTTCCCAAAATTGCTCTCAAATGCTGACACATCAGCTCAACATACTCCAAAACCAGGCTTTGTTGGCTTTAGGAAAGATTTATACCTTGGTCAGTTTAGGACAGATATTGCTAAGATTTACTAAAGGTATGACCAGAGCAACAGTAAATATTTTTGGGTTTTGTTTGTAAACAATCAAATTAACAACAGCAACATAAATGTTAAGCATTCAGCTACTAAACTCCCCCCCATAAATAAAAGCTACAGATAGGAATTCATTGCAGGGAGTTTTTGCATGTCACTGTGGAAGAGAGGAGAATGCCAGCAATTTGTTCTGTGTGGAGGCCAAATTCTTCTATTTACAGAAAATACCCATTTTGCATTTTGGATGTTAACTTCTTTTTCACTGTGCTCTCTACAGCCAATCCTAGGGATAAGAAAATCAACTTGAAAAACCTCTTCTTTGCCAAGACCAGGGAAAATCTTTCTTAATAAGAGTGTTTGTGTATTGGAAATCCATAGAAAATAAAAAAATGATGCCAATTCTTGCTTCCTAATGAGGCTGGGTGAGGTTACACAGTGGAGAAAGACACCGTCATTGGAAGAGTGAGCAACTGTCCTCCCTTCTGGCAGACAAAAACTCAATCCCCTCCCAGATTCTGTTTTTCCAGCTCCTCGAGCTCAGGATCAGTAGAGCAGAAGCTTCTCTTTATCTCAGAGCTTCTGATGCATCCCTAAATAAATGCCTGTGTTATGAAATCCCTGGTTACTTGCACATCCTACTGCAACAGGTTTCCCTTCCAGACGTGGCTTTCATGAATGGCTGGACAAGAGAACACAGCCCTGCACAGGCTCATCCCTGAGGAGACACCAAACACAACAGGCAACATGTTTTTCCTTTTTGGGAGCTCCAGTGTGGGCCTCTCCTACACCAAACCCCCCATTTATAACACCTTTGTGGGAATGCAACACCTTCAGAAGTTTCTGTTCCTATGGAAAATTTAGTGGAAGTTGAACAGTAAATTCAAGAGCCATTGTGAAGTAGGAGGAGATGGATAAGGATGAGAGTCACATAAGCCATTTTCTTCATCAAATTGATCTACAAAACCCAAACTGTAAAACTACAAAACCCAAACTGTAAGTCCAAGCGAAAGCAGAGGCAAAGGGTGCAGTTGGATATTTCCACACCATTCAGTGCTGCACAGTGAGGAGATGTGACATTTTTGCAGTGTGCACTGTAGCAATAGTAACTTGGTTCAGGGAGCAGCAGAGCTGCAGCCAGGCAGTATTTATAGTCCTCTCTCTCTCCTCAGCTCCTTATTCCTACTCTTTTTCCCCCCGGTGAATTAACCAGGACGCTGCCTCTCAAACCCAGCTGCTGCCACTGCTGGAGGAAGGCCCTTGCTGTGCCACTGTGCTGCAGAATGAACATTCCCAAAAGGACACAGGTCAAATCTTTCCCCCCAGATCTGGCAAAGTAAGAAATGTCCCGGTATTTGTACGAATTTGAACAAACGGAATTAAAATGTTGAGATTTTTGCATCCCTTTTTTTCATGTCAACATGTTTAAGGAATTTTCTACACAGGGATTTGACCTTGTTTGTGGGTGTTTCTCTATGTCACGTGCACATCTAGAAAAGTGACTAAATAAAACCAGCAAAGCTCAAGTAAATTCTACTACTGAGTAGACAAGTCATGCCTATACAAACATGCATTTATTCCGACTCACACAAACATAAGTCAACAAAAACCATACAACACTACTGGCAAACTCGAGTGAATATTTCTGCATAACTTCTTCATGCTATTTCAATGCCAGAGCATTCCCAGTTTGTGTCTCCCAGCTGACCAACCAGAACAGATGTCTGCACAGCCACAGAGAAATCCCCATCTCTGTACATTCATGAGGACGGCACACAAAATGGATATGCTGAAACACCCAAAAATGAAGCATTTGGGAGCATCCAATGACAGGATTAGCATGTTTTAATTAATACAACTCCAAACAACAAATGTCATTAATTTAACCTTAACTTTTCTGAACACAAACAACCCTTAATGCTACCACAGCACCCTGTTTTCTCTATTTTCATGTACACAAAGATGCCATCAACCATGAAGACCCTCTTATTAGCACATATGCCTCTGAAATCAAAGGTAATTTATATGTGATGTCTACAAAACAAATACCAACAGAGTTCACGTGATTATAGAATAATTTACACAACCTAGTTCAGTAAAAAAACTGCTAGAGCAGGGCAGTTATGATGCATTAAACTACCAACTGCTGCTTTAACAGTACACTCATATAATTTACAGGCAGCTGAAGGCACTTTGCACTGTAAAGCTCCAGGCAGTCCATTAGTTTAGTAATACTCAGAAACTTCCAGATGTCTTTAATACTAATAGTCCCCAAACACACACATTGAATTCTGCACTTGTCCCCAAGTTAAACTGAGAGCTGAAATACTGAGGTAAGTACTAGGATCAAGCACATATGGACATGATGGATTCAAATCCTGCCTGGGAGAGACATAACAAGCAAACCTGATTTAATTCCAGACTAGCAAAGAACAAAGCAAGGAGCTGAAAAATGAATGTAGCAAGAGAAGAGCTATCTGAGATTTTGAGAGACTCCTATCAGCTAATCCTGCCATTATATAAAGCCAGAGCAAACAAAGTCTGGTCATGAGGTTGTAATGTGAACAGAATCAGGAAAACAGTTCAAGGAAGTGGAAAAATAGTTATTTTATACATCAGGAGACACCATATTTGGGCATATATTTAAAATTCAGAATAAAAAGAACTCCACATGGACCCTTTTAGAATAAATACAGCTGCTCAAACACTTACTGGAATGAATTCACGTATTTGTGACTCTCTCAATTTTTTGCTATGCTCAACTACTGTCATCTTTTTTTCCTCAGTAGCCTAAACATAATGGCTTAAATGCCTGTATATTGTGTGGTAGCAAAGAATGGTCTTCAAAAATGCCAGATGCTTTGTAGCTTCAGATTATTCACTGCTTATGGTAGCAAATTCATGCCAGCAGAAAAAAAAGAAATAGTTCCTGTTCAAATCCAGACAATATAAATGTGTACTCTTAATTTCATATACATTAAAGACAGAGAATCTCCATAGTCCCACACTTTGCCTCTTTGAAGACACTTAACAGACACAGGAAAAAAGCAGCATCAAGAATTTGTCCACCAGAATATGCTAAAATGAGACAAATTAGCCCTAAAACAGGGATGTTCCACAAAAATGCAAAGCAGAGGTACAGGAGGGATCTCTCAGCCACTGTTTCCCACTCAGGCACAAAATGGCTTCTTCCAATTCCCTAGATTTGGAGGAGGAGGGAAGACAAGGTGCAAAGTTTATGAGGATTATGACCTTTTCCTTCTTGTGACAGCAGGAGTCAGGATTCTACATATTTGCTATAGCAGTTTGATCAGCCTGAATAAATGTGGAGTACAGCAACCCATGAGTAAATTCATAAGCTTTACTATCTCAAAATAAGCTGTATGTAACTATCTGATCCAATTTAGGCAGAATTCGGGTCTGTCGTACAAGAATATTCCACTTTTAAGCAGAAAACAAATAGTCTAGGGCTT